GACGCCAACTACGCAACAATAACGCCTCGGGAAGCCAATCCTCAGACTATCTCCACTTTGTTTAGTATCCGTCGGACGTCTTCCTTCTACTGTGATATTTTCACGTTTCCTTCATGGGACATTAAGATAGCAAGGAAGTGGATGGCCCATGCTTCTTATTAATCTCTGATTGGTTCATCCACCTGCGGATGTCATTCATCGGTATCTAATAATTTGCGAGCAGCCGGCGCAACTTTCCACCGAGGCTTCCGAAACCCCTGAATAGGAAAAGATTGGTGCGTGTCACTTTTTTATCTTTACAGCTTGGCAGGTTGGTCCGTATTTTAGCGCTTGTACGACATTCAGGGAGAAGTCAGCATGGTCAGTGTCTGCGCATTACACAGGGGGTTTCCCGATTCGTCGCAAAGATTGTCGCTTGACGTGCTTCATTTCTTCCACCTCCACCTCTCCTCCCGTCTCCGGTTTTGAAAACAAGTCCGTGACCGCAACGGACATGCCAACTTTCCAAAACTGCCTGACGGTTAGTTATCGCTTCACCGTCAGCTTGGTGAGCTATGCAGGTGTTGCGAGTATAAAGGTGGATAGTATAATTTAGTTCACTAACAAACAATTTTCTGAATATCTTAACACTTCTACCATAACTCACGCAACAATGGCCACTCAAACTCCTCGTACGTCCTCCGTTGATACGTTCGATGTATAGGATGTGTTAGCTAATTGACCTCCAGACCCTCGAATGTCGCTCAACAATGAATTACAGGCGATGTACGGCAATCCTCAAGGGGAACATGTTAGATGGGAAATCTGGTCGACTGGCTCTCCCAACTCTCCTATGTGGCACGCCTCGATTTATAGTAGGTCTGACTCATAGAGGAGTCGATGATATACATGCTAATGCCCCCACGCAGTTGACGATATGTGTTATGGATCTGGGTCAGCAGCCACCAAAGGTGCTGCTCAGGATCAAGCCGCGCTGGAGGCTTATAATAAATTGAGACGTGAACGATTCGCCAGAGGCCACTAGTCTGAAGGATCGCTCACATATCCGCCTTCATACTGTTCGCATCAACCTACTCCTATTACTCATACATGCACTGCGTTGTTTATAGTTCGATTGTTTGCGAGTCTATACATCTCCTTCTGCCTTCATTTGTAATGTACGACGTCGAAATATCACATACTGATTGATGACCGACAATAGTATATGTATCATTGAATCATCTAGCAGGATTTGTGACCACTTATAATTTGATCGAATGAAATGTGCACCACGCCAAAATGACAGTGCATCACTAAGTAGGCGAGGATAGCACTACACACAAATCCTAACACACTACATCTAGCTCCGAGCATAATGACAAAAAGAAGTATCAATTGGCCGCCTGTTGACGCTCTCGTCTTCGTGTCCGAACCTTCGCCCTGCGCTCGCCCTCCTTGGCGCGACGCTCCTGGTCCTTGACATCTAGGAACATGTTTCCTACGTCGACAAATTTAATCGCTGGACGTCCAGGGCGTTCGACGATGTTCGCTTTTGTCTTGTTCTTGGAAGTAGAAGCAGCTGATTCTGAGACAACGTCCAGAATGCCTGGCATGATTGGATCCTAGTAGATATTTAGTTCATCGACGCGTAGATCGAACGGAAGAGTCGACAAACCTTGCCCTCGGGCACTGTTTCCCAAAACATCCGTTGATACCTTTGACGCGCCCAGTCAAAACCACCAGCTTCTTCGTCTTCTCGGTCGGCCTCTACGACATCGTACCTATCCTCCTGTATCTTAGCCAGCTGCTGGTTGGTGTCATACTGCACTGGTACAGGCGTCGAATCATCAAAGGTAGAGAATTTGCTTTGAGGTACGCCGAGGAGATGTTCCATTCCCTTCACAAAACCTGTTTGGACAAGTTTACCCTGCAAATGTGTGAGCGCTCGTATAGCAAGAGGAACGAAGTATAGCTTCAGATGGGGTCGAAAGATATAATCAGCCCGCAGACAATGTAAGGATGCCCGGGTGTCTTAAATTTCACAAATGATGTGTGGTTTACATCATCCCTGGTGGAGAGACAATGGAAGGAGATAATACTCACGTCCTGAATTTAATGTCGAAATTTCCAGGACCGAGTCAGTGAACAATTGTTGTGAGAGGTTACGATTTACCTGAGAAACGGCAAGATTAGCAACTTTGAACATCAAGCGGGAGCAGAAAATAGGGTCAGGAAAATGCGTAATTTTAACCATGGGTATGTCTATAAGACTAATCGAATTTATGTTGCTCATCACGTTCTCGAAAGAGACAAATTGGAGGAAGAGATTTCTCACCTTCTTCCATGATTCTTCTAAGCCTTTCAAACGTAGGATAGCATCGACACGTTTGATGCTGAGATGATGTTTGACAGCCAGAGCGCGCACAGAATTAGCTTGGGGATCAGTCATGTAAGACCCATAGATGTGAGTGCGTAAAGCATCTGAGACAGGCGGTGGTGGACGGAATGATTGATTGAGAGGGAAGGGCTAAAAAGAGTGAGCATCGAACATTGAGATGCAAGTTCAATGAGCATACCGTTTGGGAGCTAAGCCAATTCCGCGGCGCAGGGTCACGGTATCTGAGACCAGGACCTGCTAACCACTGCTCGTATGAAGGAATATGTTGGGCTTCGTCATCCTCGGGTATGTCGAGGCCCTCCAGAATAGCTTCACCGATAGCATCATCTTCCTCGTCTGGATCCAAAAATTTGTCGTTCCTCGCAACGAACGATTGAAAAATTGTCCTACGAGAACATCTGTGAGGAGATGGCAGATGTAAGGCGCGCTGAGATGATGAAGCTGAGATGCGTAAACGAGTGAACATGAAACCTAATGGTGTGCCAAACACGTTAAAAATTTGAGGCAAAAATTGCTGCATGAATCACGTGCACACCGGACTCAGTTAGTTTAGACTGATCTTGAACCAGCCTGTAATGGCGTCAACAAGTACGATATTATGACGATCCGGACAACATGTCCGTATCATTAACCAGCGCTGTTGGCTTTGACGACGGACTGCTGGCTCTACTGAAGGGATATTCTGCATTGATTCCTCCAGCTCACCTTAAATTTCCTCTCTATCATCATTCATTCACTGAAGTGCATGCTTTTCTTCTGAACCATGTTTTGTTCGACTCGCATCTGGAGCAGTATCCACCTTCCGGGAGATACCAGCAATCATTTCTGAAATGGGCAATCGAACACCTTGAACGAATGGACAAAGATGAAGAGGTAGCTACCACTTCATTTGATAAAGCCAATTCCGCCTCAGAGTCAACTCATTTGATTGCACAAACAGGACGGCGAGATCGACGCGCGAATTTATGATCGTTATCTGTCCCTCATGTTGGGTTCGACGTAGGTTTTTTTTTTGGCACGAAGATACCATTTCTATCTTGCATTCACAGCGACTCTAGTGGCCCCCCGCCTGACTCATACATGACATATTACTGGAAGCACCCAGGCCCCCTCGGTTCGGCCGATCGAAATAGTCACGAGAGCATCACATTGCTGGAATCTCGCACAACTATAGAGAGCGGTACGACAGGATTAAGGACCTGGCGTGCAAGTTTTGTCCTCGGCAACTATCTCATTGCAAATGCCGGTATGATAGTCATGATTCTTTTGACACCGGCCTTCATATCTATTTACGTCAAAGGGATTGTCCGTGATCAAACCGTCCTCGAGCTTGGCTGCGGTACTGGCTTTCTTGGGATTGTTGTGGCGACATTGCAGCAGAAATATAAAAAATTCCATCAATCACATAGTCAGGTATTACCGGCTGTGTTAATGACCGATATTAATGCCGGAGTACTGTCAAGGTGTCATGATAATGTGCGACTTCGTTGCAGTGAGTGATTTTTTTTAAAAAAGCCCTCGGATCTTCCGGTAAATCAGTTTGATCCTCATCGCCTTACATCCTTTGACCTTTACCTGTGCCCTATCTCGTTGGTCTTGTTCAACTCAGAGCGTTACTGTCCTTGCTCACCGTCACGTAGACCAGTCATCATCTCACCCAAATATTAACTTCTCTACTCTCGACTGGTTCGATTCCCTCTCTCAACCACTGAGTGAGAACGCGGTAGCAGCATTTCTGGTCAAAGCGAAAGCTGGCGTTGTGATTGGTGCTGATATAGTAAGGCTGAGATACGCCGCTGTGTGCCTGCTACTAACTTATTCAGGTGTTTGACCCAAGTCTGGTGCCTCCGTTGGTCGCAACCTTGTGCCTCGCACTTTCTTGCGAGAGCACTCGGACAGTAATATTGGCGCTCACAGTCAGAAATGAGCAGACGCTTACGTATTTTTTGGCTGAATCTGGTAAGCAGTGTGGTCTGGAACGCGTATGAATCTGACACCCACGTCTCCTAGTGAAAGAACTTCACGTAGAAGAAGTCCCCCACTCTCTGACCGCAGCTACATGCTTTGATCTGGAAACCGCCGGAGTGGATGCTGGTCTTGATGTGAAGATATTTATATTCACAATCCGTAATTAGAGTATCGTAATCAAATGTTTCCCAGTTCTGCAGATTACTTCGAATTATTTCTTCTCTTCTCAAAAAGTATGCTGACCGTTTGCGAATCTCAAAAGACGTCCCGTAATGCGACATGACACAAGCCAAAGAAGGGGCGCTTAGCGCAGTGGTAGCGCGTATGCTTTGCATTAGCATCCGAATTGTATAAGGTCCAGGGTTCAATCCCCTGAGCGTCCAACTTTTTTTGCCCGCATGTAGTTAGAATCTTGTCCGATTGATATTGTACAAATGTATTTCTTTATCCAATGGGGTGTATTATTACCCACCGCAGTGACCGACAAAATTTGAAATAGGCACGTTCACTAATAAATGTATTATTGTC